TTAAACCCATGCCTCTCACCCATACTCGTAGTATTCACCATATTCATACCATCTGAGTGACCTTGGATGTGTCAGCGCCGCCATTTCCGTTTCCGTTCTAGCAGCCCATCAGTCCATCTCCCCACCTGTCCACCTTTCAACTGTTGCACCTCGTTGTTATTATTGCCGTTGACCCAATTTGCCACCTCTTCCTGCCTCATCATCAGTCGCCGCAGTGCCAATAAATTTTCATACAAAACAACATAAAATATATGTACAGGCAGAGAGGTACAGAGGTGTGTGTGTGTATGTGTGTGAGTGTTTGAAAGACAAAAGGGACGAGGGCCGACAATTTAATGGCCACGTGCACGGTGGTCCTTTTGGAGTTTAATATTTGTTTTCTTTTTTGTCCGTTTTCTTTCCCTACGTACTACATCAAAGTCCCGAGTCCAGGGTGATTAAATGAAATTTACGAGTACTTCCATCTGGTTTGGGTTTGGGTTTTGCATAGGTCCTATCCCGGCAGAAGACTGTCAGAGATTGATGAGTTGTGTTTTGTCTTAGGAGGGGGTGGCTTTTGGTCAAGGGAATTTCGTTGCAAATCCATTATTAACTGGCCTACGTGGCGTATGCGTAATATGCGATAAACAATTGCAGGGATAATTGCTGGCATACCAGATGTTTAAGAATAGATTATGACGGCAGGAAATTGATGGAAGAACAAGAAATATCAAGGGAATATAATCAAATGCTGGAACTTTCTTAACTGGCTAACATGGCGGATGTGTAATATGATTTTTTCTTACATTTATTGGGATTTTTGTTTAGGAATTCTAAGGAATAGCCTTGAAATGTTGCTTAGATTTCTTACTAAGTCTGGATTAGTCATGAAATAGGACAAAACAAGTTTAGGTAGACCACTGCCTGTGGAAATAGTGAAGTTATTCAAGGAAACTTAGCAAAAGCCTTTGCTAAGTGAAATTTCCAAGAATCCCTCTAATTTAGTCTCAGACAGAAGGAGAAGTAATGCAAGAATTTCCATTAAACAGATAAGAATGAAATTCCAAAGGATATATATAAAATAATACAGATTTTAGTTCATAATTTTCCTAACTGAATTCCAAAACCAAACTAAAATTCCCCCAAAACCTTCTCGTAATCTTAAACTTTCCCCATTAATTCCCACTTAATCAGCATTAAACCAAACTATTTAGTTCTTATTCCATGACATTTTCCTAATCAATTGTATTATTTCCCTCTGGCCATGGGCAGATATTTATTTATTAATTCGACAATGGAAACCCCCCAAGGCCTAAGCCTCGTATATTTCCCCATGGATTAGCATACATTTAGGAACCCAACTCATCGGGAAAAGCTTTTGCTGGCTGTCGTGTTGAGGCCTGTCGATGGGAGGATGTTTCCATTCAAAATCCAATAATAAGCCCAACAATTATGCAGGACAGGCAATAAAGTGCAAAGCAGCAGCAGCAGCAGCAGCAGCCTGCTATCCCTTAGCAAAATTACAACGCCAGTGAAATGGCGACGAAATAAATGTGATGGGATAGTCCGAAACTATAACTGACAGTTGGGAGTGAGAAGCGAAGCGAAGAGGGGGAAAACACAGAGTAGGAAAATGCTGAAAGGCAGTCCAAGGAGCTGGTTGGGGTCCCTTGTTTATGAGCTGCAATGGCGACGCGTTGACAGCTTTTGGTCAGGACGACATCGTATCCTATCCCCTGTGTGTGTGTACCCTACACCCTACCCTGTGTGAGTTTCCTCACATTTTCCACTTCTTTTTCTCTCTGTTTTTCCTCTTTTTTTTAGTGCTTCTGTTTTTTACGAGTGGACATGCGAGTGTGTGTATGTTGTGTTGTGTTTTTACGACGAGCAGCCAGTTTATTGCAAGTGTCGGCCTCGTCTGGGGTTATTAAAGTTTCAGACGAGCATTTGGTGTGAAGTCGCAATGCGAATTGGTCATGGCTCTTGGATATCTTCTCACTCTCTCCGGGGTTAAGGCATTGCATCCACAATTTCCGCCGCCCACTCGTTATTTTATTGCTGAAAAGTGCAATCATAAAACGTTCAAGGCCCCCAAATGCAATGCCACGATAAGAGACAAACAAGGCTACAGAAGCTAAGAGCAAATATCTGCGAAATTGGTCATCACTTAGGTATTTTTCCATCGTTAGATCTTGGTTAGATGCAGAGGACACTGCAGGAAATTTAAGTGGAAAATATTTAAGATAAATATAAGGAAAGAGAGATTTTGTCTCTGTGTAGGGAAAAACTGTTGGAATGAAAAAAAAGGCAAGCGGTTTGGGCACGGGGGTGGTTATTCCCCTGCCAGAGGTGGGCCCACTAAAGTTGCCATTTCTGTGGCCGCAAACGAAGAACTCGCTGGCCAACTCCCTGGACTGGTTTTGTGCATTTGAAATGTGAAAAGCGCTTAGAATACTTGCACCTCTTTTCCTCCTTTCTCAACAGGCACTAAACTCAGATAGCGCAGTGTGGAGACTAACAAAAAAGTATGTTTGAACCGCCAATCGTCCAACTAAAAGCCCATAAAAGTCTATTGACACTAATCAAAAACTAAAACCAAAACCAAAACAAGGCCAAGGAGCATAGAAAAGAAGAGTTGTACTTCGATTTGTGGGTTCTATTGGCTAAGATTCTTATATTAACAAAGTTAGAAGTGAAAAACAAATATTGTTCTTTTTCGTGGAAAGTCCTCAAGTCCCAACTTTTCGAGTTAAAGCATCAGAATTATTCCCATAACAAAGTTAAATATGGTCGTACTATAGAGTGTCATATCTCGTTGAGATCGTAAGAAAATTTCCTACAAAACTGGATCCCCACCTAAAAATGTACAATTTTAGCCATTTTTCGCAAATTTTGATGATGTTACCCCTTATCGAAAATACGATTTTGGGTTTCTCCATAAATTCCCCCCAGAACGACTGTATTTTGCTCATAACTAAGCCATTAATGGTCCAAATACAAAATGTGATACCTCGTTGAGTTCGTATTTAAATTTCCTACAAAACTGCTTTCCCACCTAAAAATGTAAGATTTAAAGCAACTTTTCGAAAAAAAGATGATGTTAGCCCTTATTAAAAATGAGAAATTGGTTTTCTCGCTATTTTCCCTTTAATATGAAGTTATTATTCCTATAACTAAGCCATTAATGGTCCAAATACGGAATGTCATACCTCGCTGAGTTCGTATTCAAATTTCCTACAAAACTGGATCCCCACCTAAAAATGTAATATTTTAGCCATTTTTCGCAAATTTTGATGATGTTACCCCTTATCGAAAATGCAAAATTTTGCCAAAAAATAAATTTCTCAAAATCAAAAAACGAATGATAAGGGTTGCAAGTTCTGGTCGATAGCTTCACAAAACAGTCGTTCTTTTAGGTCTACGCCTTATTTTGACCAAGTTTGGGGTATAAACCCTATCAAATTTTGGTCATTTTCTGACAAAGTTCATAATCCCGATTTTTGATTCAAAATCATCAGAACTCTTTCCATAACAAAGCCAATAATGATCCGATTGGGGAATGTCATACATCACTGAACTCGTGATTAAAATTCCATTCGAACTGCATTCACACTTTAAAATGTAAAATTTTACACATTTCTCGCAAGAAAAGATGATGTTACCCCTTATCGAAAAAGTGAAGTTTGAATTCTCCTCATTTCCCCCCTAAAATGGAACTATTTCCCTCATAACAAAGCCAATAATGGTCGGAATAGGGAATGTAATACCTTGTTGAGTTTGTTTTCGAATTCCTAACAAATCTGCATTTAAAGTTTGATTTGTCAATTTTGCGCCAATTTTCACCAATTTTGATGATGTTTCCCCATATCATAAATGAGAAATTTGGTTGGTACAGATTTCCCCTTTAAAAGGGCAATATTATGTCCATAACTCAGCCAATAATGTTCGAAATATGGATTGTCCTACCTCGTTGAGTTTGTCTTTTAGTTCCCAACAAATCTGCATTCAAAGTTGAAAAAGTAAAATTTTTGGTAATTTTTCGACCCCTTACAAGAAACCAAAAACTGATAGGTAAGTTTCGCTCAAAAGCTTCACAAAAAAGTCCCCCTTTCAGCTGTGCAACTTTGTGCCAAGGAAGTTCGAGCTAAAAAAGGTTTCAAAGTGATTTCAATGGATGAATTCCCGGAAGCTCTGTGCCAATAGAGAACCAAAGAAGAACCAAATGAAAGCCATTGAATGGTCGAATGGTAAAATGGTAAAATGGTATGCGTATAAATGTTTAATTTGCAGGTCATTATCGGTGTGCACAATAATACCATTACGTTGAGCTTTAATTAAGTCATTAATATAATTAAGTTAGCTGGAAGAGCATTGGCAAGCAAGGAAAGCTGGCAAGTTGCTAGCAGCCATGTCATACAATGAGCGGCGGTCGTGAAAGGAATGGCAAACGAGATTGAAACAAAAGCCAATAGATGAAGGCTGACGATAGACAGAGTTACTTTGCCAATGCTGCTACTCTCTCACTCAAATCGCATTGAAACCTGATGCGATGATGTGTGATGCGAAAAATCGCGAAAAATGCCTCGAAAATATGTTTGAGTAGCCAAAGGAGAGTGAGAAGCGAACCAGAAGCGAACCAGAAGCGAAGCGAAGCCAATGTCATGCAAATATTTGCTGCGGAAAATAACTGAAAATGTAAATATGAGAGAAGTGAATCGAGGCGGGGCACAAAAGGAAGTAGTGACAGGATGATGATGATGATGTGGATATGTCGAGGATGTATGGGGAATGCGGAAAGTGGATTTCAATCCATTGTTCGGCCCATTGATGCCATTGATGCAGCCGAGGACAAGCAAACAAATAAGCCGGAAATGGATCAGGGAGGGGGTGGGGGAGGAAATCTACATACTACTTTATCCTATATACCATCATCCACCAGCACATGCTGGAAAAGTGTTAGGGGGGGGGGTAAACCTTTATCAGCAGCAAGACAAAAAGGCGGTACACGAGCGGTACAAATGCAATTAGCTGGCTACACAATATAACTTTAACCATAACAAAGGGATAACAAGGATGTTTGCCATGTTACATTTTCCATTTTCCATTTTCCACTGGCCCTGGCCCTCACCGGACCCGAGCCTAAACAAACCGAGTCCCAAAATTGTTTACACTTCTATTACACTAGTTAGCAGGAAAGATGTTTCTTGAACTATCAACAAAGTAGTAGCCAGTAACTGCCATTTTAAGCACTTAGTAACCATCATTTTTCCTTATTTCATTCTTAGTTAAGAGTTTTAACTTTGTTAACTAGTGTTATTTACACTGTTTTTGGGGGTCAAACGTGTAAAGTTTAAAACCCGTTTAAGGTCGTACATAATTCCCGCAACTATGCTCGCTCAATTATAAGGCAATTAGTGGGTAAACGGTAATCGGTAATCGGTAATCGTTAATCGGTATTCAATTGAGGTGTGACAAATCACACGAATTACCATTAACCGCAATGACTAAATCACTTTAGTGACTAAATTTCGCTAGTTAGTCAGTCAGTTGCCTTTCATTCGTGTGCCTTGTACCCTGCACAATGGGATTTTCCAATCATTTACTAGGTTTCATCACCCTCTTTGGTTTTCTTCGACTAACCCAGCAGGTGGGTAAAAATACTTAAAGTTACTAACTAAAAATCAGAACTTCTAATAAACTAAACCCTAAACTAGCACTGCTACATGATGAAGTTAGTGGGCGTTAAGTCCTGGGACACGCCCAACTATGGTCTACAGATCAACATGTTCGAGAAGAACAACTCCATGTCCTCCGTGACCACAGTGCGTCAGGATGTGGCCATACCACTGTGGCATCTCGTCCTCTTGCAGCATCCACGTAAGCGAAGTTCCGGCTCTGCCAGTCGCGCTGAACTGCCACGGACTCTTTATAATTCCACCACTAAGACCTGTGATTTCTGGAAATACATCCGACACGTCTCGGCCTGGAACAATGTGGCCAAACTGATGCTCTCGAAGGGCGCCAGCAATATGAGCCTGGCCTGCCCTCTGAAAACCGGCGTATACGTGATGAATCGCATTCAAGTTCCACCAGAAACGGCAATCTTGAAGTTTATGTATCACCCAAATACCATGTACACTCTGGAGGGCACTGTCTATGCTCTGAACCCAAAGGATAAGGTCACCAAGAAGGCTCTGTGCTACTACGAAATCAATGCCACTATCTATAAGTCGTGTTAGAGGAAGATTAGAAGTCCCTTCTAAGACTTTTTTTATGATTTTTAAAGCGTTTTTAAACTCTTTAAAATGTTTTTTTTTTGTATTATTACTAATTTCATTTTTTTTGATATTTGTTTTTAAATTTAAGCTTAATAAAGAAAAGGGAAATAATCATAAGCCACTAAAAAGCCACCAAAAGTTTTCATTTTAAAAGAGATTTGCTTTCAGATTTTTAGTTTTCATGGCTTAATTACTACTAAAACTGGTTAAACTACAACCCTTCTGTGTAGGTTTCTCCCTCTGCAGTTGTAAAAACAGAAAAGGTTAAACACAAGTTCAGCGGAAAGCTAGTTGCAATTGTCAGCGGTTCTGGTGCGGATTGAGGTTGAACTGGGTTGGAGGGGTTAAGGCGGTTTAAACCGCGTGCGTGTCGCACGTCAGCGAAGGTTTTTTAATTAAGTGCGAAATAAAAATGGAAAAGGGAAAATTTATATCAGCAACAGGCGATATATCAGGCACTCTATATATACATATAGGTAGAAAAGGGAGCTGCAAGAAACCGCTAATCAGCAGAAAGAGAGATAACCAAGCAGTCTCGCAGAGACCAAGCTTAAAAATTAAAGTTTGATAAGCAGAAAAGCAGTTTTAAAGTTTAAAAATTCAGGAGAAATAATTAAAAATAAATCTAAGAAGATATTTCCATTTCAAACACCTAATTTGTTACAAAAATCAATAGCCCTAACGCCGATTAAATTTTAATTTTCAATTTAGAACGCCGCTCGTGAAATATTTACCCCACCTTTCTCCTCCCAACTTTCAGTGACGATCGTGGGAATGGGCTGGACTGGTCACAAAATTGCGGCAATCATATTTCATATTTGCATTTGCATTTTGCATGACCGCACGCACTTGCAACGCCCCCCTATCCTCCCCAAAAAAGTAGGCAAAATTCAAAAAGTGCCACAATGTTTGCTCCAATTTTTCCAATGCTGAATTTTTAATCAATTTTCCAGGCAGTTTTAGGCTAAACTTTAGACACTTTTAAGGGCTATTTAAAAATCATATTTTAGGGAAAGGGAATAAATTTCCCAGTGTTTTAAGTTTTCAAGACATTCCCTTTTAGCATTCCCTTCGGTGGCTAAAAAAAAGAGGCAACAATTGGGTTAAAAATAAACAGCCCAGGACACGAACCCAAAGCGAATGACTGACTAACTGACTGAATGACTCCAGGTGGGACCCTCTCCCTCCAGGCCTTTTTTACCTGTAAGCTACCAACCCACCCCCCCTACAATTGGCATAAAATATGCGACGCTTGCATGCCAGAGACTTATTATTAAAACATAAAATTTGCATGCAAGCCGCAGAGCCAAAGCGACCTAACCTATATAGTATATATATATATATATTATATATACAACTGCGGTTGGAGTGATAGTAGCCGAGAAAGTGGATTAAAAATGCTGAGGTATTTTGCAATATAAATAAAAGATTTAGCCAGAGAGATGGGCCCTAAAAGGTACACTAATAAATATAATGGGAAAATGTTTTTTCAAACTTCAAACTTTTTGCTAACTACAACTTAATTTCTTTGATAATTTCTTTTAAGGCGAAGTTAGTTTTCCCCTACCCTTCGCTTAAACGCTATCTACTAAAACTTCCCTTTACCATTACTATAATTGTGACTCCAACTGTATGGGCTATGGGGGTTTATCCACAGCATAAGAAAGAGAAGCACACGCCCTTTTCCGAGGGGTTTCGGGGCCCCCATCACGATGGCAAGATACGAGCCTCGTATATAAATACGTGCCTGTTTGTACATTTATGTGGCGTTTGGCAATTTGAACTCGTGAATTATGCACAGAAAACACAAAGCAGAAAGACAATGCCAGCCAGGGAGTTCCCCGGGGTTTGCTCAACTGGGAGAGAGGAGAGAGAGAGCGGCGAGCCTCCAGTTTGGGGAGTTCGCATTAGACAAATTTGGCCAGTTTATTTACTGGCAACAGTTCGGGAGCCAGTCACAGATGCTAACACTCAGTAGATTGAACGCAGTTTTTCCATGAAGCGGGGAAGGGAAGGAGCTGTCTCCGGATGGTGATTTGTTAGATACCACTAAATGGGGCTTCACTGTGGCTAAATACCAGTTGGGAGTCGTTTGCTAAATCGAAAATCAGCGATAATATTATTATTTATTTGACGTGTGGCCTGACTTCAAGTCATTACTTGATTAGATTTTTAGTAAATTAACAAGAAAAACTTGACTAGAAAGCCTGATAGATCCTCTTCTTGTTTACAAAATCTAAACTCCCCTTCACACATCTCATCTATTATTTCCTAAAGTAAACAAAAATAAAGTTCAATGCCAAAGTTCTTTTTTCTAATTAACCAATTTTCTTCTTAGCTGGAAGTATCAATTAGGTAATGACCTTTGACAAGACAGCGGACACCGGTTGTTCGGATTGTTGAAAAATTTCCAACTTCTGCCTTAATTATGGTTCGAATTCGAAATCAGCAGCTCATTTCAGGCTGCACACATGCAGCCCCAGCCAAACTTCTGCCAAAGTCATTTCGACGGATTCCATGACAACCAGGCCCAAAATGTAGCCAAAATGTACCCAGAGATAGGCTGAGAGAGAGAGTGGGAGACTAATGGCTATTAAATGGCAACCAGGACAATGCGATACCAGGAGACGGGTTAAAAATGGAATGCAGGAGGCCGAAAATCAGTTTGATAATTTCAGGCCTGCCTGCCTGCTGCTGGTTAAGTTACCAATGGATTTTAGCTAGAAACTTCTAGAAGAAGGCTGTAATTGGGAAAAACATCTGGCTGTTTGCTTGCTGATTAAAGGCAAACTGCAGTTATTAAATTAATTAAGTTAAGTACTGACTAAGATATCAAAAACCAAGTAATTTCTATCATAGAGATGTAGCATATCTCTCTAGAGAAATCTCTAAACTCATTTCAAATCAAAAGTACGGCAAGTTGTCTGCGGTTTTCTGCCTTCCATTCAGGCAAGTTATAGTTCTAGTTATAGCTACTAACGGGAAACCGCAGGTGGAGTGCATTTAAATGGAAACTGCCGCTCAAACGCAGTTGTCACATCAATAACTTGCTGTTGAGTTAACATTTAGTGTGCTCACTTTACGGCTGTCAAGGGTGCACTTAGAGAAAATCAAAGTAACTAAAATATGGAATTTTATGATATAATTTTGTTTTATGAAAGTTCATTTAATAATATTTAAGGGCGAAATCAAAAGGAATTAAAAATTCTTTCTATAAAACTACTTTTTGATTTTTCCATTGCCTGCTTTTAGGCAAAATATGATTTCAAGAACGAAACTTACCCAAGGCAAGGGAATGCATTAATTTTTCATTTTCAAATATAAACATTTTTTCTTTCACTGCACTTATTCATTTGACAGGGCGTCAATTTGCGTAATCGGAATCGCAGCGACTTTAACGTTTATTTAGCCCACACCGCAGTGCTAATTCCACTAGTCACCCTCCCCCTTCCCATCTAACCGCCTACATATACTGCCAGTGAATGGTGGGCGATACAAGCAGTAGATGCAACAGTATCACTACCCACTGAAGCTCTGATATTAACCGGCAGTGACGACAGCAACGGACAGGACAACGCCTAAAAGCACACTGCACAATTTATTTCTTTATTTCATACGCTTGCCTGATTTCATTTTTAATTATCCGGTGCAGGCTGTGGAAATGAATTCCGCGAATAACGAACAAATGTGAAAAACTATAAAGAAAATGCGCATATTAAAAGTCAGCCAAAAGCGTATGTAAATCGGGAGAAAGTTGGTCTGGCAACAGAAATAAATTTATATATTTTTAAGATTTAAATATGGTTGGAAATATTAATAAAGTGGTTGATATATGGCGATGTTTTCGAATTTATGGATGATTTATAGTAAAGATATATGAGAAATATTTGTTAAAAATGATAAAAAGCTTTTAAGGGCTTAGAAAAGGCAGCAAACAAAGTGTGAACTTTCTCGTTCTTTGCTTCTTAACAAAAACTTTCCCTGCAGATTTCCAACATTTCACATATCAACCTTTCCGATGTCAACTTTTCCCAATTCTAGTTCTTAAATATTTCCCAGAAATACCAATTAGCAAAATGATAATACCTTAATGAATGAGAATCCGTCATGGAGCTTGTTCAATGGGCCTTTGGGTAAGCGCAGTCGTTAGGTTTAATCTGTCTTTGGGGAAAAGCCAAACACAGAGAATGCTAAGGCACCCTTTAACCCTTTGATGGCCATTAGACATCTGCCAGAACCCAGTAACAATTAATTAGGCATTTAACAGTCACCATTCTACGACAAAGAGCAACAAGGTTTAACAGTCCTAGAGATATATGGTACATATATCTAGGCCAGATTGGCCTATGCCAAGGAGTATCCTCCATAGATGGCATTGATGGCTTCCAGATGGCAAATTATAATGGCAGTCCAGGGACCAACGGTGTGATAATTGACCATTCATCAGCCCGCCCACCTGTTCATTAGGCATTGCATAATGATGCCTCATTAGAGATGGGAAATTGTGGATAAAACTAACCAGAAAAATGGTATTTCTATAGCTTATCCAGCTGGAAAATGTTAGAAGAAAAGATAAATTGAAATTTTACACCCATAAATCCCAAGTTAGTTTCAATTTTTGATAGTAATCGATGCCTTTTTTGGCTAATTAAACCAAAAAAGCTGATTAGCCTTCAGCAGGTGCAAGAAAGAAACCCAAATTTTGGGCAGCTTTCCATCACTGCTGGACCGGCTATTCTATTCTGGGCTTTAATAGTCCAATTTCCAGCACAATTCATCGGAAATTCTCTTTAGTTGACCTGCGGCTCTTTATTGCGGATTCAATTCGCTCGACAAGTGAAAAGCATAAACGAACCTACACGGAGTTTTCTTCCTTTTTTTTTTTTGTTTTGTTTTGGGAAAGGGAGGAAAGGGAGTTTCCTTTTTGGGCATTTTCTGGTAATTAGAGTTTCATGTTTCGCAGCAAAAACAGGCAGGCAGGCTGGCAGGCGGAAGTTGCTAGCCAACAGAGCTGGCTAGGTGGAAAATGAGAACGTGTTGCTTAATTACACGCATTACCAAATATCACACATACGCCATGTGGCCGCTGGCAAAACCTGCAAAGGCAAACCAACACAACAAAACACAAAGCGAATAAATAAAAATGAAAATGAAATATTTTCATTCGGTCGTGTTGGCTTAAAAAAGCGATTACTTAATGCCCTTCAAGATTGTGATAGTTTAATGAGGGTTTTCTGCTTTTTTTTTTGGGGGATTTTTAAAGATAAATTATCAAGGGTGAAGGGGGAGTGGAAATTTAACACTTAAAAATGTAAAATGGGAAAAGATTTATAATAAAAAATTAGCAAGAAGCTGGTCAGAAAGTTTTCCGAAATTCCGAAAGCCAAAATTAACTTTAAAGCTTCTTTAGAAAAATCTGGAAAAATTCCTAGCCCTAAGCTGACATCATAACCCTGTCAATAATGTTAAAAATATACCCAAAAAAATAATATAAAGACATAAATAGCTCAATAAAATGTCTCTCTACTCACACATCAAGTTAGCCCAACTAACTAGCTTTTAATAAATCATCAAACTAAGGCTTAGAATAGCAGCGGGCTAAGCCCTTTTGGGCTTCCTGCTAAAGTTTGCGACAAGGATTGGTAGGCTGAGACTGAGAGGATGAGGCGGCGGCAGCCCCGTAAAGTCGATAACCCTAAATGGCCAAAAGCAAATGCAATTTGGCCAAAGGAAGTGAAAGGAGCTCGCTGACTTAGTACTTAGCGGTGCAGGCGAGTCACGGCAATATTCAGATTACACGATACCAACGCGATGCCACGCCCACACCCAACAGAGGTATCCCCTTGGGGGAGGGGCAGGGCCCTCAGCACGTCTCACATTAATGGCCCTGCAAAAAAACAAAAAAAAAAAGAGGAGAAAACTAAGGGAAAACCGGCACAAAATAATTGTTTTCCGTTGAGCAATAATTTTCTATACCTTTTGTTTTCCCCATGGCATTTGCCCCCAATAAAGCTTGTCGGTGGGCGTGGCCGTACAGTGTACTTTATTTGGCCCAGCAAATTGAGTTAAGTGTAAAAAACAAAAGCAAAAAAAAATAAATGAAATAAGCAAAAAATGCTAAGAAAAGCAGCAGAAGCGACGGGGCCAAGCCCAAAGAGCCAGGCAAACCTGAAAACTGGGTGAAAATGTCTGAAAAGCGGAAAAGCGGAAGTGGAACACTTGCCTGCTTGTCCACCTTTTAAGCGCGAAAAAAGGATGGGTTAATTAACCCAACGTCCAGCAAGCAGGGCGGCCAACTAACTAATCTAAATGATTTGTGAGGAAGAGCAGAAAGTTGGGTGAAAAGTGGCAAGAAAAATGCAAGCAAAATTATTCTTCTTTCTTACAAATTTCACATATTTATTTTTAAAGTTAAGTAATCTAATATTTAAACTCTTCAATTGTTTATTTAAAACTTTAAATAATCTTTTTATTTACCTCTTTATTGCAGGATTGCCTTTATCATGGTGTAATTTTAGTGCCCCTAACCAGGCGGCGGTCATTATTTGTTAACTTGCCTTCTACCACTTATTTTCTTGGCTCAAACACACACACACACATACACCCACACTTACACCCATTACACACATTAATGAGGCCACAAAATGAGCTCCTAAATGACCAACAAAAGAAGGAAAAACCAGCGAAATGTCAGGGAAAACAACGGACAATGAAAATGTGAGGCGGAGAAAAAAAACCGAAAAACATTGTTGCCGCAATTGTCTTGTCCTGTGAGTAGATTTTCCTGTTATTGTTTGGCCTTTACTTTACTTTACTTTACTTACATTCATTACACAGTACCCTCACACACACACACACACACACACAGACACACAGACATACACAAAGGGTGGTAGAAATGGTGGAAAATGTAAGGCAGACATTGTTGCATCCTGGAGTTCCGCCTCATTCAGCGTTAATTTTATGGTTCCTGTTGAACTAAAGCAGCGCATGAATCTCATCCCAACCCATTTGGGTTTTCCATCATACAGACACTAATGGCTGAAGGTCTCGGAAAAGCCACCACCCCCACCCCCACACCTTACCCCACATTCACAATGCAAAATAAAAACAAGAACATCTTAAAGCGCAGGAGAAGGCAGACCAGGCCAAACTCCTTTTAAGCACAAGAGTTATTATGCCAGTGGCCTTCATTTTCCACGGAGTTTTCCTGCACTCTGCCATTTTCCGATCCCATTACAGCTAGCAAGGAAAGGCAGAGAGCAGAGACAGCGAGAAGCAGCTGGTGAAAAATCCATTGCAAGTGTAAAAGTTTTCCCATACGAAAGCGGAGGGGGAGAGAGAGATTTCGATGGGAAAGCGAGGCCCAAAGGGAACCATTTGGTCAGCAGCGGTCAAGGGATTTGCAGACCAACGATGTTTGGCCAAAGGTTTGACTTTGATTTTGGTTTGATTCTGTAAGCGGTTTGATGCCCCCCCCCCCTCAAAAAACAAGAAAAAGAAAGCAAAGAAAGCAAAGAAAGTCATATGTGAAAGGAAAGAAAGTCAAAGGGTGAACAAGAACTGCCTTGAAGAGAGATTTTGGGATTAAAATTTAACTCTTTTGATAAACTTCCAGCAAAACGAAGGGATTAACTAGAGAAGTTCATTCTTCTTTTAGATTTTGCAAAATAAATTTACTAATTAAAACGGGAAAAGGCCAACAATTGGTTAAGCCACTCATAATGGGAGTGGGAAACCAACCAGCAAAAGGAATTTAATAAATTGAATGGCCAAGAAAAGCATTTATTAATGGGGAAAAGCTGAAGCCAAGTGGAAGATAATTGGCTGACTGGCTAACCCTTTCTTTTTCAGAAGGTCAATCTAAGAGGGGGTGGGAGAAAAGTCCAACAATAGGAATTAGAATATTTTTAAACCCTTACTAGTGTAAGTTAAAACCAATTAGTTACGTTTTTCGATACTTCATTTGGACTAACTTTAAAGCCTGGAAAATCACTTTGATGTAAACTCAGCCGACCGACGACCTGCCGACCGTAGTCAATATTTATTTTTAATTTGACTTGTTTTCATTTCAGCTATGTTGTTGTCATTGACAGCATTCATTCTGCTGAGTTGGAAAACTGGCAAAAAGTGGTTTCATTTTGGAACTATATGGTGGGAAAAGCTAACATCCTATTCGCCACCCTTTTCCTCCCTCTTTTTCACAGAGTTTTCCTTCCTCTCCTTTTTTCTTTTTTAAAGCTCTTCTGCTGTTCATTTGGCAGCTGTCAATTTGAATAACCAACTTGTCTTTGTGTTTTTTCCATGGTCTATAGATATGTTTACATGATGATAAAGAAAGGCTGCTGGCAGTCAAAAGATGACTTCTAGTTAAGGGTGGGGGTGAAAAGTAAGAAAAATACTTGGAAAGCAGAGAAAAGAAAGCAAAGAAAAATCTAAGAATAATCTTAGTTAAGCTGCAAATATTTTAAAGAAATATTTTAAGAATTTTTTACATTTTTTAACTTCTTTTACTTAGAAATTCATGAAAAAACCTCCAGAAATAAGCGGAAAAACTTTCCCTTTTACACTCATTTAAAAATTAAAGAAAAATCCCTAAAAAAAAGGGAAGAGAGAAAGTAAGGAAAGGTGAAGACATTCAGCTAACGATTGACACGTTTCCCTTCAAATTGAGCAGGAAAAAAAGACAAAGAAAATGCTTAAAATTGTTACCAACTAGAAAGATAGAAAGATAGATGGATAGATGGATGGTTTTCCATCCAGTACAAGGGGAAATCCAAACAAATTGCTTTGGCATCAATTTAATGGGCCATGCTGTATTGATGAGCCACTCCGATGGATGGTTAATCAGAATGGCTTGCATAAAGGACAATTTGTATGTCCTTAGACGACCAAGTCGTTTAGTTTGTTTTTCCCAGAAAGAGAAAGTAAACGAGAAAGAGAAAGAGAAAGCGAGTGGGAGAGAGTTACTGAAATCGTTGCTGTCATCATTTGCGTGAGTAATTGCATGATAAAGTGCTAGCAAAATGGCCCCAGTTGTGATTTGATGGCCATTGGCACTTGCAACATGTTGCAACTGGATGCCGTCGCAGCTTTAGTTGCCCACCAATGGCGGGGGCTTTACCTCCCCACTCCCCCCCTATTGTTGCCTTATTGTTGCCATTTAAGCATCTCTTGAATGTTACGAGCGACCATAAAAAAAAGAACGAAAGATGCAACGCCGTGGCACAGAAATATGTCAAGCGTGTGCTGGGCGATAAACCAGAAATACATGCACGTGCCGCTGTGTGTGTGTGTGTGTGTGTGTGTGTGTGTGTGTCTGTGTGGGCCATAACTTGAGGCGCCATTTAACTGCATTGCGTGTTGGCCTTTTTAATGGCTAGCCTTAAATGCATGGGCAAAAATGAGTCAAGGGGGCTAGAAGTTCTGATGAAAAATTCAAACTGAGAGAAGTTTAAAGAAAGATTGGAAAAAGAGAAATCCCTTAAAAAATCTTTAAAATTAAGATTTTTATTAACTACTTCTTAAGTTTAGTTTATTTCTTAATTAAAATGCATTAATTTAGGCAGCCAAAAACAGAACAGAGCTTGACTTGCTGGTTATCAAACTGAATTCAGTGAGGCTGATAAGGGGAAGCAACATCTGTTGTCGGCAGACCCTCGGATCGGATGGTCTGTTCAAAGGAACAAAAGACACGTCATGCTAGCCACCTTTACATATTTTTTAAACAAACACTTGAAAAAACAAGAAGCTACTTCAAATTATAAGAAAATTAACCAGATACCACATATTTTCCCTGATTTTTCCAAACATTTTTCCCAGTGCCCTGAGAGAGAGGGAGAACTACCCCGAGAGACCCACCGAGATAAGACCCTCTCGAAAGGCATATAACCCGATCATCGTTTCCATTCCGAACTCAGTCAGCTGTTGAAATTCAAAGACCATGGATCGTTGGCAGAATCGCGTGGCCGTGATAAGTGGCGCCAGCTCTGGCATTGGAGCTGCCTGTGCCCGGATTTTAGTAGCCGCAGGTCTGCAAGTTGTGGGCTTGGCACGCCGCGCAGATCGCCTCGAGAAGCTTCGACAATCCTTGCCAGCGGAGCAGAGAACCAGATTTCATCAGCAAACTTGCGATGTGTCGCAGGAATCGCAGGCTAACAATGCCTTCGAATGGATCGAAAAGGAACTGGGCGGCATTGATGTTCTAGTCAATAATGCTGGCATCGTTTTGGGTGGCCAACTGATCGATATGCCCACCAAGGACATAAGCAACATCTTGCAAACGAATCTCATGGGCAGTATTTACTGTACCAAGCTGGCCACTGGCAGTATGATACGCCGCCAAGTGCCTGGCCATTTGATCTTCGTGAATAGTACAGCCGGAGTGGCTGGCTATAAGCCAGATCCGGCCGAGGAGAGCCTCAATGCCTATACACCTAGCAAATTTGGCTTGACGGCCGTTCACGAGATCTGCAGGCAGGAGTTGATACAAAAAGGATCCAAGATCAAGACTACGGTGAGCTAACTTACAGGTTTTTCTATATTTTTTACAAGTTTTGTTTCGTAAAAACTTTGATTAACATTCCTGGGAATGATTTTTAAGATTCTTTGATAATCAAAACCTTTCATAAACAGAAACAACTGTAATGATAAGGCACAGCTGCTTTGAGACAGTGTTACCTGGCTAAATGGGTTTAAGCACAATACTAAAAACCCATTAAAAGGCCTCTTTTTATATTAATAAATTCCCCTCCCTCCCCGTAGAGCATCAATCCCGGCTGGGTGGCCACCGAAATCGTGCCAGACGAAACAAAAGCCAAGCTGGGCGAGGTCATTCTGCAAGCAGACGATGTAGCCCAGGCTGTACTGTATGCCCTATCGACGCCGGCACACACACAGGTGGAGCAGATAACGCTGCGGGCGGTGGGCGAGTACTTCTGATAAAGGCAACTCCCCCCTCCCGAGATCAAGCCATCGACTTGCCATAACAATCAAATGAAGGGGAACGACCTGCTAACTAACCACAACATTCTATATATATAAACTTTCACCTCGTTCTCGTTACGTTTTACTTTTACTGTTAGTGTTATGGCCATTTGTTTAGCACTTTTCCACATGCCAAATAAATAATTCAGTTTTGTAAATTAACAGCAACTGACACCGACTAGAGTTAATCGATACTATTTGCCGGCTAAAAGGTATATTATTTGCCCAGAACTAGAACTGGTTAATAATTTAACAACCGTTGGGGTTAACGAGTTAACAAAGTCGTCGATAAAGTCATCAAAAACGGCAAAGGGGACAACACACTTCATGAAAAATGCAAGCAATCTAAATGGGCGGCAATACTAAACTTTCGTTGGTTAATAATGCAGCCTGTAATTTCTCACACCCATTAATAATGGTTTAGGAATGGCAAGTCGTTAGCTATATCCCTCTATATTGATCAGGAAAAGTAACTTAAATATTATACAAAATTATTCCTTAAACTTCAACTCTCAAACTAAAACCAATCTATAGTCTAAAACAGTTCATTCTACACATATTTAAGCCACCAACTTTTAAGCCAACTTTACTAAATCCCCAAATGACATTGACTTAAATTTGGTTTCCTGTGATTAAATTAAGTCATCTGTCCACCAAGTGATCACAACAACAACAACACCAACAACAACAACGAAAGTTTGAGATATGCTTTTAGTTCTGGCCCAAATAGTTTTCCCAGACCAACTTTTATGTTCACCCGAAAGTTGTTGTCTGTGTTTGCCGGCACCACATAATCAGGGAAATAATTTTCAATATATATATACCCCTATATATACCCCTATATATATCCCTATCCCAGCATAGAAGAGACAGCTAGAATGAATGGCCGCTTGGGCTTAGTCTCGCTTTGAATATTACGTATACGCATCGTTTCCCGACACGATTTGGTACTTAGGACCACAGCCTCAGTGGGCCATGTAATTGCACTCGCTTTCGCTGGTCGACGACAAAATTAACAAATTTCAAACATTAGCGCCGCCGCAAACTTTGCACGAGCTTGTGGTTTCTTTTTTTTTTGGAATTTTTCGCCGAGGGCTTAAGTCAAAAATTTGAGCCGGCGCAAGGAGGCAGCAGCATCATGCACAGTATCCAGTTTTATCGCAAAGTAATTATTTTATTTCAGCAAAAGTTTTCAGCGGCCTTTCCTCGTTTTTTTTCTTTCTGTTTTTTGTTTTTTTAACCCCCTTCCCCATTTAAATTCTCACATCTCGCTGGGGAAAACTTTTTCCCGAAACCTTTTAATGACAGAATAACATCACATGTGTGTGCTGCTGCTGCCTTTTCCCTTGAACTTGAGGGAAAGATGGGAATATTTCTAGTGAAATATATTACATTAGCTCAGGGCCGGAATTGTCTTTTGTTTTCTTGGGTGTCAGGCGAAGTTTGTAGGGAATTGGTTTTAAGTTTAAGTTTGATTTTTCTAGACAGGCCAAAATTTAAGAAGAGTTTTTCTAAGAGAGGATATTAACTTGTTTGGCTTCTCTAAAAAATATTTTTAACCTTTTAGGGGATTTTTTAAACCATTTTCCTTTAATTAAACATTTTAGAAAGACTCTTTAATTTTTTAAAAATTATTTCTTAAACATTTTAAATACAAAAACAGAAGAAAAAAAACACCCCACAAACTTTCGAAAGCCTTGCATGATATGTGAGAGATTCGCCGCGTGTTTATTTTCCGCGTGAGGATTCTGCGTTGCCAGGATGGAATCTTCCTGCCAGTTTCTGCCTGTCTACCAGTTAGAAGTTTTCCTTTGTTTGGCAGGTTTTCTACAACCACTCCACCTCCCCCTTTCACAGCCCCTTCCTCCGACTCGCCACACTTCACTCATTTCCGGCATTTTGTTTTAATTAAATTTATAACAAATGTCATATAGCGCCAAAGTTTTCCGGCCAACCAGCATGCGAGATCTTTACCCCAACCCCCGGCCAGTGCATTTTCAGGCCATCCACAGAGACTAGACTTTCACATGGCTTTTCAATGGATTAAACGAAATTTATGCGCAAGATGAGGGTCAACGAGGAGCTGACTTTCAGCTCTGTAAAATGTGGTTGGGAAAACTGGAATATTATTTTGAAGATTTTCAGATTAGGCTTATGCTTTCCAGGCAAGAACTTTGATGAGGTGATTAAAATAGTTCTTAATAGAAGGAAAAACTTAGACAAATTCTGAGGAAAAGTACAGAGCCCTCCCATCTAAGATTATCCATTCACCAACTTTATCTTTTAGCCAAATATCCCATTTTGATCTCAAGCTTGTTTGGAATTTCTATTTGCTGCCGCCCGAAAATTCTATCCTGAAACTTAAATGCAATTTAAACATTAGCAGGAGAAAGCTTTCTGGGGGAATGCTGTTTGCCAGGCTTAACCCGTTTAAGTGGAATTCATTTTGGCCAGCAGACTCCCCCAAGTTGTTGTTAGCCAGGAGGTTTTTTCGGGTGGCCAAAAGCCCACAACAATATGCAACATGTTTATGGCATTTTTGCCCTTGTCCCTCCAGGCGTTTCTCTACTTTTTTCTTCTGCCTGACCCCCCCCTTTTTCCCCAACACCACCTGCATGTGTGTGTGTGTGTGTGTGGCCCAATTGAGGAATTTTTGGGCCAAGTTCGCCTCTGCCACCGACTCCTCCTTCTCCTGCATTTCTGCAGTACAGTGGAGAATCTGTGGTTGGCCGTTTACTAGTTTTGGCAGTTTCCCTGCTATCGACATTTACTTTATGACAAAACGCCCACAGCCACTGCTCTCTCTTTCTCTCTCTCTCTCTCTGTTTGGGACAGTTGGGTCGTTGCAGTAGAAAACTGAAGGGAAATTCCCAGAAATTAAAACGGGCATCCATCAAAGCCAATTCATGCCTACGACGACATCATCATGGCGCTGGCCCAGTAACTAAAATTTTGAATCCGTTTTGCAGGCAGCAGCAAAGGATCGACTTTGATGGAAATTTGTGGTGGCTTTTCTAACCAAAATCAAAAATAGAATTCGATTTGATGTTTTCTTTAATAAGATGGCTATAAAGGAGGCATAGATATGAAGGATTTTTAAGAAATCTTCAGACTTAACTTGCCTTGAACTGAATTTATGATCAATTTTCCGGACTTTCTCTCTGATTTAAAACCAAAAAGTCTCATCAAATCACCAACTTACTAACTTTTGCTCAAGTTTTCAAGCAAATCAAGACTAAAACTTTAATTTTAAATATTTTATAAGTTAAAAACCATAAACTCCACCCAAATATTCCTCATAAAAACCCCACAAAGCACACTTTCCCTAACCCATAAACAAACTGAACTAAGGATCATGCATTTTTCGTGATTGCCCTCTTTTGTGGAATGTCAATCAAAATTGATCCATGGGCGTCGCCTGACGCAAAGGGAGCACTCATTTTTCTGGCCTCATTCGGGTGAGAATCCGGTCATGCTAGCTCCAAGTGCTTAGCCATCATCTCATCGTCATTGTCAGGCAATTTGCAGGCTAAACAAAGGCAAACAATAAGTGCCAAGAAAATTGCCAAACACTGTCCACCCATCGTCGTCTGCATTCTGCATTTCAGATTTTCTGATTGATGATGGATGGATGGCTCTAGTTCGAGTCCCTAGGAAAGGCAATCCCTGATTGGCCAGGTGAACTTCTACTGAACTCCTGAGCTGCTACACCCCTTTTCTAAAGTAGTTGGAAAAATTTAATAAAAACCCATAGACTAGCAGCCCACACACACGTTGGAAAATAGTTCAAATAATACTTATGCTAGGAGACAATCAAACTACACAAATATTACAACAAGAAGAGGGAGGAGGAGGAGGAGGAGGAGGAGGAGAGCCTGCATGCCTGCAAAAACATTCACAATCCTGATGGCAAACAGGTTCGGTTTACTTTGCATTTGCATTTAATGAAGCAAAAACACTGCCGCTGGATGATTTGAATTCCAGCGACTGCATTTTGTGTTTAAACTAAAGGATATTCTATTGCTAATCGGTGAGAAATTGGCATGGATTTTGTAAGGGTTTGTTAGGGGTTAAGGGTTAAGGGAGGTTGATAAACCTAAAGACTAGCTTTTGGTTGCTTATTTAAGACGTTTTGTGGGACAAATTAGTACAGAAATGTTTAAATAAGAATATATGAAGATAAAAACTAAACTAAAATGTTTCTTAAAAATCCATTCATATATCTTCTCGTAGATCAATTGATATATAGAGTGGCCCACGGAAGATTTGCGTTTTAAATTGGCTATAAAAATATCAATATTTCCCAATTTTCTTCGAACGTAATCTTAAACATTTCGTAAATCGCAAACCTTCTACTGAATATCTGACATGCCATTCGTAAAGTCAAATTCAAAATCATCGATAGTACAAAAAGCAAACGCTATATGGGCCACCCTGTAGATATACCATAATCTGAATCACCTTTCTTCAACCTTTCTTCCCTATATTCCCATACCTTTCCCACATTTAAAAACCCTTCTGAATCAAAGAATATATCTTTGTTTCATCACACTTTCCCCGCCAGTTCACACTCAGAGGGCAATTGCATTCGCCGCTATTGAATTACACTTTTGCCAGCATGCACGGCTTTCCCGTTAGCAGGAAAACAGGCGGAAAAAAGCTATATATATATGCGATTGTATATATATAAAATCTGGAAAAAGGGCGAACCGTGGATGCACGATGCTGCTGATGCTGATGCTGATGCTGATGATGATGATGGCGCGTGCGGCGTATTAACTTTTTGCCCTTGCACATAAATTGCAGCATAACGTTTCGTTTACATGATTAAGAACTTTTCACTTTTCTTCTTGCCAGCCTTTCACCAGCCCATGAACTAAGCGTTGGTTGGCTGCGTAGAGGGAAGAAGGGCGAAAAACTTGTAGGATTCTGTTGGATTGTAAACAGGGCAAAAATGGAGTAGTAGAATGTACGAAAATAAAGGAGAAGGCCAAAAGTTTTCCAGCCTTTTCTTCTCCTCTCATAATAATCAGGTTTTTCTCCCTTTTTCTTAAACTTTTTTCCCATTCTCATTCGCTTTTGTATTTCCTTTCCTTTTCCTTTTTCCTTTGCTTTTTTTTTGTGAGTTTTTCATTTGCTTTGGTGTTAGTCAAGAGCCCTTAGTTCTG